TCCCCCCCCCCCTACCCCAACTTCAAGACCCTTAATAAAATGAGACAAAAAATCAGATGCTCATAACACTGCAATAGAGTGATCCACAAAGGCCCCCAGTATCTAATCTCTGTGCTGTTTGGCCCGCGCAGACTTTGTCCTGGGCTGGGAGCCGGAGCGATAGAGCAACTGCCAGAACCAGTACAGGCCCAGGGCACAGAATGCACAGACGACCACCACATACTCCGCATGGTTCTCGTATCCCGTGCCACACACTGTGTACCACTCTGTTTTGTCGGCGGGCCTCTTCTTGACACATTTCAGGTCAAAGTAGTCCTCATAGAAACGCTCGAGGCACAGATATTTGTTCTTTTGTAGCACCTGAGTGAAAAAATGTCAACAGAAAAAAAATATCACATTTGGAAAACTCTAACAGGAAATACTAAAATCTTGTTGATGCATGTAACATTCTGAAAATCAAAACCGTCATCTTCATCAGATAATAAAATGAATTTACAAAAATAGTCGTTTAGTAAATTAACATTTAAATAATTTACTTAAATTATAAGACATTTTAGAACAACACATTTCTCATTGATAAGTCAAAATCAAACTTTACTCCTGATATTTGTTCCTTTTCTGCAGAACAAGAATGAGTTTGTCAGTAAAACCCAAAGAACAATCACTAGAAATACTAGCTGAAATTTATAGAAGAAACCAAAATAAAAATGGTAATGGTGTATACATGTGTAAATAGACATGGATGATGAAATTTATGGAAGTCTATGACGAAATTTACTGACCAAGTTTCTACAAACAAAATAAATTGTTTTCTCTTTGCTTACAAGCATCCGTTTAATCTCTAGCATGTGGAAGATAATATCATGTCTACATCATTTAAAATACTCATATAAGGAAGAACCCCCGCGGCAGTGCCACTGACTGTAGTGTCTTTAGGCCATCCCAAAGGGGGGACATTTCTCGTTCAAGCACGGTAGAATTGTAAATGGGCTGATTCATCATGTCACTCTCATAACTGTGCCTGATCTGCAACAGGGAACTGCTGCTTTTTCTTTCCTAATCCATACTATTGTCATTTCCCTCTACTTCTTTTGTATGTTTGTCACTCTTGTGACCCGTTATTTCCGGGGTGCCTTTATAGTCGAAGCAGA